GGTAGGAAAGACAGGGAACAGAGGCAGTTTTGTATGTGGCTAAGAATGCAGGTTCTGCAGTACACCACCTCCTCCCTCCGTGACTTTCAGCAAATTTCTTAAACTTTCTAAGCCTCAATTTCTCCATCAGTAAAATGAGGCTGAGAACCATAGTACTTTCCACCTAAGATTGTGGAGGGTGTTAAAAGAGCAAATGGATGTAAAGAGCTTGGCACATGGTAAGTACCCAATAAGTGTTCATTGTTATAATTGATCCAAGATTAGGGGAAGATTGTAAAATACTGCAATGTAAAAGGGAGTTTCTGTAATCGGTGTCAATCTTGGTCCAAAACGTACTACTCTGGAATAGACTTGATGTTCTGCATTGCCCCAAACCACACACCCACGGAAACACGTCTCTGCCTTGCCCACTCCACCACCAATTTTTCCTCATTTCTGACGCGACTTCTGAGAGGTAGCCCGGTGTCTGGCACAGTAAGTTTTCCATAAATATTTGTTGAAGTTCACTGTACTCCCAAACATTGCTGCTGGTAACATATCTGGTCGGGAAACAACGTGGGGGCAGGGGGAGAGATTACTGTCTCAGACATTACCAGGGGAGGATGGACCAAGTAGAAAGAGAATTCTGTGGGATCTGAATCATCTATAAGTCTGGCACAGTAAACGCAGTTCAATAGAAGAGGAATGGGAATGGCCACCTGAACCCTCCTAACCGGCTCTCCTCATTCAAGGGCGGCCAGAGGCCAAGACAAGGCTCTGAGTCTTCAGCCCCTTTAAGAAGCGAGGCCTCGTTGCAGACACCGCGGGAGTGATTGGCTGAAGCCGGCGGCTCGGCCGCGGTGGGCGGGACACTGTTGCCAGGGGGCTGCGCAGGGGCTTTACGGGAACTGCGGCGGTTGCGCGAAGAGGCCGGGCGCTGCTGCGGCCGGGGGTGTACGACGGCGCTGGGGACTGCGGGGTGCGCCGCGCAGGCCGTGCAGTTCGCAGCCCGGAGGCGCCGTCGCCATTGCCGCCTGGCTCGGTGAGCGCAGCCCCGCTCGCCGAGCAGGGCCGCAGCGGGCCGCCAGCACCATGGGCCAGTGCGGCATCACCTCCTCCAAGACTGTGCTGGTCTTTCTCAACCTCATTTTCTGGGTGAGCGGGACGGGCGGGCGGGGAAGGACGAGGGCCGGCGGCGCGGCCCGGGATGGTCTC